CAGACTTCTATCTACCTTTCCAGTATTATCTCTTACCCCCCTTCTCCTTGAACCATCCTTTGTTCTAATATATCATGTCTCTCTGCCTCACCACCCCAGCCCTTGTGCATGGTTGATTCCTCTACCTGGAACAAGATTCTATAGACTCACTTATTTTTTATTTACTCAACAACTATGATGGAGCAAAGACTTGCTACTTGCAACTATGATTTATATTATACTATTACGGAAAGCTTACTCCATGCTAGGTACTAGGAAATAAATCAGTAATGAAACCAGGCATGGTTTCTGTTCTAAAAGAGCTTAAGGTCTAGCATGGAAAATAGTCATTAAGCACATAATGAGATGAGAGTTATGGCATGGAAAGTATAAGGTAATGTGGGATCAAATGTCAGGGTAACCATACTTAATTTAGAAGTCAGTGGAGGCTCCCTGAGGAAGTACCATTGAAGCTAAAATCTGAAGTATAAGTAGGTGTTAGCTGTGGTAACAGAAGAGTGGGGAGGAAGGAGGAGGTATGGGAGTGGTGGAAAAAAATGTTCTAGCAACACAATTATATGGAAAATATATGAGTACAAAGAAAAAAAATAGCTTTTCCTTGTTATAGTATAAGATGTTGGGAATAGATACCTTTGTTGAATATATTTTGTTGGTGGCCTGTGTTACCAAGGACAAAAGTTCTCATCACCCTTTGTTAAGAACTACGTTCAGGTGACTCCTTCTTTCATAGGTGTTGTTGCAATTAAAGGAATAAAGAGGTATCCTGAATGAGAGAGAAAGTCTAGATATCAGAAAACTAGTTTTATCTTGACTTTTGCATATGACCTTGACCAAATGACTTACACCTGTACCTCTGCTTTGTCCTTTGTAAAAAGGAGATGATAATATTATCCAGTTTAACTTGCAGGGTAGGATCAAATAAGATAATGGTGCCAAAAGTATAAAATATCACTTTGTGTTTAATGTTTTTTTTTTTACAGGCATTTCAAGCATATCAAACACTTTCTTGATTTCTGACAGTTCTCTATATCAATAGAAACTCAAATTCATTTTTCTTATGATGTCTAGTTGTAGCAATAGGGGCTACGTTTCCAATTCCACAATAAATAAAAAGCCCTCTTCATTACCCTTGAAGCGGGACAGAATTGGATCATGTCTCTTTTCAAAAGACCCACTTGTTCAAAGTAAAAATATTTTGAAGTAAAAAAACTGGAAAATCCAGTTATTTTACAATCATCAAAAAACAGAATACATTTCTGCTGTGATCAAGTCCTTCAATTCCTTTATTTTTTATGGCAAAACTTATCTGATCAGTCCTTTTTTACTTTTCTATTTAAACTTACTATCTTATTTCTGAGGGGTGAATTTATTGACAAACACAGCAATATAAACGCGAAGAAAGTTATACTGAAATATAATCTCTACATACTCAATAACTAAGATTTAATGTGTTAAAACAAAACCTTCTAGTGTCATGTTAGTCTCTTATGTAATAAAGCAGACCACGAAATAAAACACTGTTAGTTTATGAGTTTATTTTGCCAAAAATTTACTCATCCCTGAAAATATTTTAGCTATAGTTAAATATATAAGTGTCAAATTCTCCATCACAAACATTAAATTTTTCTATGTGTTTCTATAGCCACAGTTAGGAATAATACCAACTTCCCTTTCTTCAAAGTAAAAGGAAAAGCTCATTCTAAAATATTTTACAAATACTGAGAACTGTACAAGTACCACTTTTCAGAGATGAAGAATGAGTTTTTAGTTTTGAATGACACATCTCTTTTTCCTTATAGTTTTTCTCTTTTTTCTTTGTCAAGCAATTGGATTTCAAAATACAGTAACTTTGTTAAAGATGTCTAATTTCAAAGTCCTGTTCAGGTATTTAAAAAAGAAATTCATTTACAAATTTCAGGCACCTTGAAGAAAGTTTGATAACTTTATTGAATTGATTATTTCTGTACTGTTGTGGAGAAGATTTAAGAAGCCATTTAAAAGGAGAAAATAGTTTGTGGATAACTGCTTTTGTTAGAGACAGAAAAAAGCTCTTAAAATGCATATTTAGGAATCTCATTTAGTTGATGACCAATTTATTTTTTCTTTTTTTTTTTAAAGATTTTATTTATTTGAGAGAGAGAATGAGATAGAGAGAGAGCATGAGAGGGGGAGGGTCAGAGGGAGAAGCAGGCTCCCCACTGAGCAGGGAGCCCGATGCAGGACTCGATCCAGGACTCCAGGATCATGACCTGAGCCGAAGGCAGTCGCTTAACTGACTGAGCCACCCAGGCGCCCCAGTTGATGACCAATTTAATTCAAATCTCTGTTAGTCTATGTTTGAAGGAAATAGAGTTTATGGAATTATGCAGTCAGATCAGTGAGCACTTGTTCCTGCACGTAGTACAGGGCAAAGTCCTCTGAAAGAGGAATCAGGAATGTGGGCTTCAAGTCTTAACTCTGCCACCCACTCATGTCACCTAAGGCTCTTAAAGTCACTTCACCTCCGAACATCAGTTTCTTATTTGTAAAATGGAGATAATGATGACTTTCTGGTAAGCTTGCTATTAGGAATAAGTAAGATGAAAAGGCTCTGTAAACCAGAAACTACAGAAGTAAATCACAAAATTATCATGAGCTCAAAGATGCCCATAAGAGATTCTACAAAGAATAGTTTAATATGTATTTTGTGTTCTTGTTTCCTTTTCATATGTATATGAGCTAAATCCTTCATTAGGTTATAAGCTCCTTAAGGCTACAGTGAGCATACCATATCCTCTTTCAATGTTGCTCTTCGGATTACACATAACTAATGGACGCTCATAAGGCTTTGTTGACAGATATTCTCTCTTATTCCTCAGTTCCAATACCAAAAAAATAGTCACTACTGTCAGAAAGTCTACTTTCACCTCTTCCATGTCTAAACCTGCTTGCTGTAATCCATACCTATTTCCACATATTCTATCCTCTAAACTCATGGAGAATTGGCAGGTCAGCATCGAATTAACAAAAGCCTTTATCACTGTTAGCAAACTGTTTTCAGCTGCAAAACAGAATCCTCAATTCTTGATTTAAATCTACCCCTCTTGCAATCCAAAACAAGTGGAAGTGACTAATATAGCCCCAGGAAAAAAGGAGTACCGGCTAGCTCACTAAAGATTTCTAGAGCCAAGCAGTTCCAGAGGAAAGCCCAATCTTGCCCTGGCAATGGAGAGGAATAAAGTACAAGTGACACAAAATGGCTAGAGGAAATATGGACAGAGAAGAAAAGCAGGACCCGGGTAAAGGCATCAGTGAAAGTAGAGTGTTCCTAGGGCACTGATATTCCCTTAGATAAATGATGAGGTACTCTGGTCTACTCTGATGCTTAAAACTAAAGTCTTTATTTAGTAAGTAGGTTAGCATTAGGTCCTAATAAGACACTTTTAAAAGCTGAAGGCATGGTGAGGAAGGGATGGCTACCTCTCAATCTCCCTCCTTGTATCCTATAAATGTGCCTACCTGAATCTGCCCTCAGCTCAAAGTAGTTCTATATTCTTTTCATGAGGTTTTTAATAAGCGGGCCCAGTTCAACGCACCTTCTAGGTTTAAGAGAAGAGTATTTTTAGTCAAAGCCACCTCGCCCAGTCTTTACCGATATGATGTGGTTTTCATGAAACAGCCCTAGGAGGGCTCACGCAATCCTCCGGCTCGGGGTAAACACGTGTGTCCAAAGCCAGCTCCGGCGCGCCCTGCGCTTCAGCACCGCCGCCTCTGGATAGCGCCTTGCTGGCAGGCCCGCGCAGGGCCTCCCACCCGTCTCTCAACCATCTCCAGCCCACTCTCTCTCCTCTTCTCATTTCCTGCAGTGCCAGAAAAAAAGCACCCCCAACTTCTAACCTCTGCTCTATGCCTGCTTCTAAAGTGACCTCCGCGTCCCTTCCTCAGGGTCTAAACGCGCACGCCCCCGTGCCGTTGGGTCCTACCGGAGCAGCAGGGAAGCCGCGTCCACCGGTGGCCCGAGATCTCCGACAGGCATCGATCAAATGTCCCCTGACCCTGCTGAATCCCAAACCAGCAGCTGGGAGCCACCGCTCACTCCCTTTCTCTCCACGCCCCAAAGCCTCCAAGAAACAAACGCGCAATGATGCGCGCCCCCCCGCCCCAACTCGCGCGCGCGCGCGCGCGCGCGCGCACACACACACACACATTCACACTCATACACACACTCGCACGCCGCAAGCCTTCCGGGTGTCATCGCCGCCCTCGGCAGAGCCTCAGCCAACTTGGGCCCGGATCCATCAACATCGGCTTGAAAAGGGCTGCCCGCAGCGGCCACCCCGCCCCCTCCCCTTCCTGGGCAACGGGTCCCGGCAGCCGAGCCCAGGCTGGCCAGCCACTCACCCGCTTCACTCAGCCATCCACCTCGCGAGGGCAATACGCGGCCCACAACCCTCAAACATTCGCCCCTGGGCCGCCCTGAACCATTAGCCAAACCCTAAATTAATCTCTTCAAGCCCCAGCCCTGCTAATGGTGTGTTGTGTGTGTGAGTGTGTTTGTGTCTCCAAGGCATATACATCATTTAACTCCTTCGAGCTTTCCACCCATCCTAAACAAACAGCACGTTATCTCTAACCCCCTCTTTCCCTTCTCCGCGACCCAACCTCTAACCCCACCCCGATCCTCTGCAGCCAAGTGGCCAAACTACCACACCACCGTACCCCAGTTCTGGAACCTCGACCTCCCACCCGGCCCAAACCCACAGTCACCTCCGGCCCCTCCCCTCCCCCACCCCTTGGACCCCAGTGAGCCGGGTCTGGCCGGAGCAAGAGACGCCTAGGAAGCGCAGTCCACGTCCCTTCCCAGGAGCCCGGAACAGAGGGGCTGACCTCCCACCAGGGGGATGAGCCGGCGCATCCCTCCAGAGGGGCACACGCCTTACTGTTCAGTCGCCCTGGAAAATACAGGTGCCGGGGAAGGAGAGAGGCGGAAGCTGCCTCCGGGGGTGGGCGGGGGGACTCACCGAACATCTGAATGTGCCCTTTGGTGATGGGATTGAAGCTGCCGCAGGCAAGCAAGATTACGTGGGTCTTGGTGGTCTCGGTCATCGTGAGGGTGGGTCCCTCGCGCTGGTCCAGGGGTCGCCTCTTTTTTTGTGTCTCGATATGTCTGCAGAGGGAGAAAGGAAGGCGAGGCTCCGGCGGTGGATGCTGTGGACTCCAAGGAGTCGCTCCAGACGCAAACCGCGTCACTCCCCGCCTCCCCTTAACGCTTGCAGCTCCGGCAAGATCCGAGGCTGCTTTTGTATGGCTCTGCTTCGTCCTTCTCTTTTCTTTTCAGCCTTTTTCACGTCTCTCGTCCTGGTCTCCCACTCCTGCCTTTCCTCGCCGCCACCCACCTCACTCCATCACGCTCTTCCTTAGTGTTTATGTACAAGGCAAACCATGGTACCAAGCCCAGAACCATGATACTCACAGCACGGTGTGAGCTCCTTCTTTTACCTCCTTCTGACTTTTCCTCCCACACGCTAACATTTTTCTGTCCACATCTACTTTCTCTAACATTTTCAACTCCAAAAGTGTTTGATCTTAAGAACTGGCTTTTTTTTTTTTTCTTCCTAAAAGTTTTAAGTGAGAAATGACAATGGTTTATGTCAGGAATACTAATTTCCGTCTTTCTTTTCCCCCTAATCTGATGATTTTGAACTGCTGAACTCAGTCCAGATCTTCACCGAGTGGTTGCCAAGAAATAGGGGGAATCCCTATTTCTGAATCCCCCCTCTGGAATAATGGACCTTTTTATGGGTTGAAGCAATGCAGAGAACACGTATGGGGCAGAGTTACTAAAGCTGTACTAGGAAACTACTGTGATCCTACATAAGCTGTCAAAGTTGAGACAAAGATTTACCCATTCAACAAGTGTTTCTTGAGTGCTCACTATGTGTGAGGCCCCGTTATAAACCCTGCTGATAAAGCAAAGTCCTCCTCTTCTTCAAGTTTACATTCTACTGGAGGAGGGAGGTGACAAACAGAGGAGGAAAATATTAGATGGTGACTGTGCAGTGCCCCACCAGTGAATGCCATTCACTCTCTGGCAGTACAAAAGGTGAATGGGGGAGGGGGGCCACTTTAAATCCAGTAGTCAGGGAAGGCCTCTCCAGGGAGATGAAATTCAAACTGCAACCTAAATGACAAGGAACTGCTGGTACACATATTTTGGGACAGGGAAGAGTTTATTGTGCTCATAGACGTGAAAGAAGACCAGCATGACTAGAATGCACGAATAAGGGGAAAACGCTAGGAGACAAGATTGGACTGTCCTTCAGGACAGAATGGAGTGGGGCTTGGAGGCTAGGATAGGGTTGGGATTTTTTCTAAGTGGAATAATTTAGAGAGGAATAACAAAAGGAAACCACTGAAGCTTTAGGCAGGGGAGTGATGAGTAACTTGCATTTTTATAAGATCACTCCGGTTGGTAGGCAAAAAGTGGGAGGGCAAGGCAAGCATTTAGGGAATTTTTTAAAAAATTTTATTTATTTATTTGAGAGAGTGAACAAGCAGAGGGGAGAGGTGGAGGGAGAAGCAGTGTCCACACACTGAGCTGGACGCAGGGCTCCATCCCAGGGATCCGGGACCATGATCTGAGCTAAAGGCAGACACTTAGCCAACAGACACCCAGGCGCCCCAAGCATTTAGGAAATTTTGCTGCTAGCCTAGGCTAAGTGGAGTTGTCCTTGGACTAGGGTTTATAAAGGTGAAGTTGATGAGAAGCAGATGTTCTTGGGACAAGTTTGGTAGATAGAATTTATGGTCTTTGCACAAGGATTGGATGTGTAGGGTGAGGTAAAGAGAAATCTAAGAAAATGTCTAGAAATTTGGCTTAAACAAAGGAGTGGACTGAGATTGAGAAAATGGGGAAAGAAAGTTTGAGGGATAACCAAGTGTTCTATTGTGATACCTATTAATTCTTATTTTTTAATGGCCTTTAAAAAAGTTGACAAAAAATAATTGACATATAATGTTGTATTTAATTTTAGGTGTACATAATAATTCTGAACTTAGAGATCCAAAAGTACAAATATTTACCTCTCCCAGGCTTTGAGATTCTTGAATAAATTGCTACCCTATATTAGTGGGTTGGTTGTTGTTTCTTATCCAAGATCACATAAATATTTGTGCAGTAAATATTTGCTAAATTATGCTGAATAGCAAATCAACCCTAATGTGCACAAGATTTCTAGTTCAGATACAAAAGTCCTATGAATTGATGTATACTTTAATGGGGTTTATGTCTTCCCTGGCATGGGATGCAGGTTAGTGAGGAAGAAAGAGCAAGAGATATTTTTTTTTTTAAGGAATTTTAACTACTTTTATTTATTTATTTTAAGATTTTTTTTAAGATTTTATTTATTTATTTGAGAGAGAGAGAATGAGAGAGAGCACATGAGAGGGGGGAGGGCCAGAGGGAGAAGCAGACTCCCTGCCAAGCAGGGAGCCCGATGTGGGACTCGATCCAGGGACTCCAGGATCATGACCTGAGCCGAAGGCAGTCGCTTAACCAACTGAGCCACCCAGGCGCCCAAGAGCAAGAGATATTGAAGGGAAGCTGACTTGGGTCTGAAACTCTTGACACTAGCTGGGCAATTAGCATAATTATACTTAACCAATAAATATTTATGGAGTGTCTGCCATGTGCCGAGCACTTGCTTTAGGAACTGTGAATAAAACAAAGTCCCTACTTTAATGGAGTTCGAATGCTAGAGGGGAAAACAGACCATAGATAAATGAATAAACACAATGGCAATAGATACCACAATGAAAAATAAAGCAGGATAAGAAGAAAAGGAAAGGAAAATCCTCCTTTATATAAGGTGATTAGGGATGGCATCTCAGTTAAGATGGTATTTGAGCAGGGGACCTGAAGCAAGTGAAGGCATATGTTGCTTGACTGGGGAAGAATATACACGCAGAACAGCAGGTGCAAAGAGTGTGAGGAGCAAGAGTGTTAGGGAATGTTCAAAAGGACACGTGTATTGCTGGAGAAAAGAACGAAAGGGAAAATTGGTAGGAGACAGATTAGAAAAGTAGGACAGACACATAGGGCCTCATAGGCCCTGGCTAGGGTTTTGACTTTTTCAGAGAGAGATAGGAAGTCGCTGGAGGGTTCTGAGTGGAGAAGTGACATGAGCTGACTTACACTTGAAAAGTACCGGTTTGGCAGGAGATATGAATTCTGGAGTCATCAGTATAGTTTTATATTTAAAACCATAGGATTAAATGAGGTCATCCAGGGAGTAACAGATATATGAAGAAGAAAAGAGTCCCTCAGATTCAGCCTTGGGGCACACCAAATTAATAATGGTAGCTAAGGTTCATTGAGTACCACTAGAAGCCCAGGTACTATAAGCTGTTTACAGATGTTAATTCATTAACTCTATAATAACTCTAATTGTGAGTTCATATAACTCCGATAAGTTCATGTAATTTATCCCATTTTAGAGATGGGCATAAAGGAGAACAGAGAAACGACATAAGTGGTCCAAGTTCCGAAAACTAGTTTGTATGGAGCCAGATTCAAACTCTGGTAGCTTTTGGTTAAAGGACCTGCTCTTGATCCAAGTTTCACTGCTATGCTATACTGACCACATCCGTAAAAATGAGGGTAATTATACCCCCTAAGCCACAGAGATGTGAAGATTGCCAATAATGGATGTAGAATATGTAGCATATAGTAGATGGTCAATAAGTGATACCTATTTTATAAATGAGAGAATGGAACTTCTTAGCAGAGACATGAAGAACAGACTGAGAATTGCCTTACCACATTTTTAGGTTTTCTTTTCTTTATCCAGGAAAAATGGAAAGGTAGAGAGGAAAATTCAATGTTAACTTGCTGGAATGACTGGACACTCACTCAATGCTACAAGTTAATTTTAGTAAAAAGAAAGAGAAAAGATCCAACTCAGGCTTCCCATACACAATAGTGGTCAGTAAATATTTACTGATGAATTAGGGTGAAAAATCTTTTCATCAGTCCAATGCCCAGAGGGTAACAGTGAAACATGAATGTGTTATACAATGCAATAAATATTTTCAGTATTGTAGGTTATGTCTTAAGTGATAGTTTAAATTCTATTGATTAGATTAATTGGTTGTGATTCTAATTGTCTCTTGTGATTTTCCTTATGCTTATATCTAATTTCTGCATCCCCAAAGAGGGCTCTGGAATTGGAATATAAAAACATGGAGAAGGGTGCCTGGATGGCTCAGTCAGTAAAGCATGTGACCCTTGATCACAGGGTCATGAGTTCAAGCCCCACGTCGGGCAGAGAGCCTACTTAAAAATAAATAAATAAGAATTAAAAAAACAAAACAAAACCATGGAGAGCAAGTTCTGGTTCTCCCCCTTCTAATTGTTTGGCTTTGGACAAGTGATTTATTGCTGATTCTATTTTGTCAATGTGCTCTGTGTACTTTAAGGGGTGCTAAATGGATCAAATAACACCATGTGTGAGTCACTGACTTTTTAAAAAGCATAGTGTCAGCTTTTGGTCAAACTCCATAGTTGTTACCTACAAAACACCTATTGTTTTTTAAGTGTTCAGTTGTTCTATTGATGGCTTTGTCAAGAAGATTTCTGGAAGTGCTGATCTTAGAGGGCAATAACTTTGGAAATGTGCTAGTAGTGTATATATTAACCAACAAAAACAAATAGCCAAAAAGATACTAACATCGAATTTATTTTCAGGGAAGATTCCAAGGCTGGTTCATGAGATATAGAAATGGGAATGTCAACTCTTGCATAATACATGTACCTTAGTATATGTAGTGATCTATTCTCAGGAGTGCTTATTTTAACTTAGGTAATATAATTTGGTCCAATATTTCAACTTCCCAACAGCTGGGTAATTGCTTTAGGCTGAAAAGGAACCAGAGTCATTCTCCCACAGCCTAAATCTTGCAATCTGCTCTAGCCAGTTTGGTTTCCAAATGGCTCAAGACGGACAGTCCAACCCAGAACTTTCTCTGCTGTAAATATCTGTTCTGATGGGTAGGCATAAGTATCTATGAGTCTGATTTGAAATGTGCCCATGTAAGTCTAGCACAGTGGGTATGCGTGTTCCCTTCTCTCCCCATTCACCTAGTCCAGATTAATCATCCATTTACATC